GGAGCCTTCACTTGCCCAGCCTCAGTGTCCACCTATGTGGAGCGGGGAAACAGTACGCATACCGTGGAGTTGGCAGTGGGGTTTTAGTCCGCTGTGCACTGTGGAACACGGTGGCGGACACACAGAAGAACACTTTTGCGGTTTTAATTCCTGTATTCTTGGAGCGGCTTTGAAAGTAGTTCGGGGGTTTCCTTGTTCACACTCGACAGGCTGCAGCGAGCCAAGATGCTTCAATGGGGGTACGTGTCAGCAGGCCATGTATTTCTCCGACTTTGTCTGCCAGTGCCCTGATGGATTTATTGGGAAACGCTGCGACATAGGTGAGCGCTTTGGTTGGGTGGGTGTGAGCGACATTCTCTTCTCAAACAGACCAGGGAAGGAAAGGAAATGCGTGCTGGAGGGCAGGGGACAGGGGAGGAGAGACGAGGTCGTTTCGGGAAGGACGGTATTGGGCCAAGTGGTCAGGGCCTGAAGTGTCAATCAGGGTCTCGCTTGGCCACAGTGTGACCCTGTCCACCCAGCTCACGATGAGCTCCAGGGGCTTCAGCAGCCAGCCTGCTCCACTGTGCTGTGGCAAGACACAGGTTCCTCTGAGAGCCCTTTGGTGTCCTTTTGTCAATCAGATACCAGAGCCACATGCTTCCAGGACCAGGGCATCACCTACAGGGGCACGTGGAGCACAGCGGAAAATGGGGCTGAGTGCATCAACTGGAATAGCAGTGTTCTCTCCCTGAAGCCCTACAATGCAAGGAGGCCGAATGCCATCAAGCTGGGCCTTGGGAATCACAATTACTGCAGGTGAGAGGTGTCTTCCACAGCGTGAGTGTGTGTGTGTGTGTGTGTCTGGTATGAAATATTACATTCAGAGGAAGACCTGCCCAATCGATCATGTATTCTAGAAAAGCAGAGCTGATGATCCTTAGATAGGTAGATATAGATAGCTATATAGATATGTAAATGTATACACAGATACATATGTAGATGGGTAGAGAGATGATAGATACATATATGCATACATAGATACATAGATGATGGCGATAGATATATCAGTGCATTCATCTGTCAGTGACTGGCAGATTGGCGCATGGGTGGTAGGTAGATAGAAGAGGTAGATTTGAAGGCATCAATTCCCATCTCTGGGTAGGCATCTGAATCTGCAATTGTAGGGCTGGGAAGAGGCAGGAACTGCCATTGCTGTCTTGGTGCTTTTCGGCCTTAAACTGACAAGACAAAAATGCACCCTCCTTGTCTGGGATAACTTACACTCAACTGATTGTGGATGTTAGCCACAGCTACAAAACATCTTTATAGCAGTACCTGGGTCATTGTCTAATTACATACCTGAGACTATAAGTCAGCCGTGTTGACACACGGGCAGTTATTGTACACACTTGTCAACTTGGCACCCTTTACACATTTCCTTATAACGTGCTTAATCCCCCAATAAAGGGCGCAATGAAGTCATACTTGTGCCTAACGTAGTAAAACTTGACAGCAGTTGGCCCATGATGCTCTAACCTTGCCCCTAAAAGCGTGTCTAGTCCTTGTGCCAGGAGGAGAGGCTTTCTGTTCAACCCTCACTGGTCCTCCCGGGCTGATTTTTCAGAAACCCCGACCGAGACTCGAAGCCCTGGTGCTACGTCTTCAAGGCAGGGAAGTATACCTCAGAGTTCTGCAGCACACCAGCTTGCCCTATGGGTAAGTGACAGCTACCCTGCACCTTCCCCTGAAGTATCTCCAAGGGAGAAGCATCTGGGACTGTCAACCTAACTGTCCTTTCATGCCCAAGGGAGGAAGGAGCAGGCTAGGAGCTAGCCACTGTGGCCACGAAGTGAAGCGGCCGAAAGGCTATCTCCTCAACCAGCTTGTCTGCTAGCGTTGGTTTAGCCTTGGGCTGATTCCCTACCTCCCATCAACATCCTCATCTATAAAGCATAGGATGAAGCTGAACCCATGGTTTCTAGTCCTTTTGGGTTTTTTTTTAATTATTGTTATTATTTCTTTTAGCTTTTGAGAGATTATAATTGTATCATTTTCCTCTTCCCTTTCCTGTCCCCAAACCTTCCCACATACACTTTGCTGCTCTTTGAAAAATTCATGGCCTCTTTTTTTCATTAATTGTTGTTACATGCATGCATATATATATATATATATATATATATATATATATATATATACACACACACACACACACACACACATACATACATACATATATGTATATATATTCTTTTTTTTTGATTTTTCGAGACAGGGTTTCTCTGCGTAGCTTTGCACCTTTCCTGGAGCTCACTTGGTAGCCCAGGCTGGCCTCGAACTCACAGAGATCCGCCTGGCTCTGCCTCCCGAGTGCTGGGATTAAAGGCGTGCGCCACCACCGCCCGGCATGTATATATATTCTTAACTTTAGTTACTTGTATGTATGTTTTCAGGGCTGTTGGTACCGATAACCAATTGGTGTGTTCTTCCCTGGGGAAGACTATATTTCCCGTTCTCAGCAGTCCTTATTTGCCTGTAGTTGTCTGTGCCGGGCTGAGGCCTCGTGGACTTTCTCCCATCTGCTTGGCAGGTCTATTGTTGTTGCTCTTGTTTAGGCAGTCACGTTGGTGAGACTTTATGGGTGTGGCTTCTGACATTCCTAGGAGACTCTTAGCAAACTCCTAGATCCTCTGGCTCTTACGCTGTCTTTCCGCCCCCTCTTCCCAAATGATTCCTGAGCCTTGGGTGCAGTATTTGTATCCAATGGGATGGGCCTCCACAACTCTTCATTTTGGTTGGTTGCGGTTTTCTTTCTATAATGATCTGTCCCTCTTCTGAAGAGAAGTGTCCTTGATGAGGGGCCAGGACTACACTTACCTCTGGGTATGAGGAGAAATATTAGAATGTAATTAGGGATTGTGCTGGCTTTAGTAAAATGGCTGCTGTTGACTCTCCTCTAATACCATGACTTTAATAGCCCTGGGTAGCTGGCTAGGTTTCCAGGACCAGACGTGATTTCTCTTGCTGATCCTTTCCTCCTCTGGTCAACATTAGGGTTCAAGGATCAAGATAACTTTACAGGTACCTTTCCACCATAGTGAAGCAGAGAGGCCCACTTGGTTGGTTTCGCACCGAGGGGAGCAAGGACAGGGTGGGGCAAATAGACGGAAGTGGGTAAGGCAGGGCCGTCAGCATGACCCCACGGCAGTGCCCGGGTCCCCTCATCACGGACTGTCACGGTAACCCCTCTAACGCCTGCACAGCGTCTCCCAGCACCATCACCGCAGGTGGGACTCACCCCTTCCTGCTGAACCTCTACAACTTGCTACATCAACATTCAACCCCTTCGCCTTTAACTTGAGATATATTTTGTTCCAGGAAAAAGTGAGGAATGTTATGTTGGAAATGGGTTAACCTATCGTGGCACCCACAGCCTCACCACATCTAGGGTCTCCTGCCTCCCGTGGAATTCCATGATCCTGATAGGCAAAAGTTACACGGCATGGAGGACCAACTCACAGGCACTCGGCCTGGGCAGACATAATTATTGCCGGTATGTAGCCGTGATCTAAGGGAGTCAGCTCCCAGCAGAGAGACTGGGTGATCGGGTGGGAGAAGACTCAGTGTTAAGCATGAAAGATAATGGACATTATCTAGACAAACCTGTTAGTTTTCTACAATTAGACTTATTTTTATATACATAAATCTTTTTAATTTTGAAAGATTTATTTATTTCATGTATATGGTGTTCTATCTGTATATATACTTGCATGCCAGAAGAGAGCATCAGATCCCATTAGAGATAACTATGAGCCACCGTGTGGTTGCTGAGAATTGAACTCAGGACCTCTGGAAGCTCTCCAGCCCTAGACTTATTTTTGAGAAACAAGATACATCAGTTTTGTTATTTTTGGCAGGAGTAGAGTGGGGTATATGTGTACTTGTTAGTGTGGGTGTGTGCACATGCATGAAGGTACATGTATACATACATAGGTGTGTGTGGTCTGAGGTTGACATCAGGTATCTTTATTCTTCTCGATTTCTACCTTTATTTTTTGAGACAGAGTCTTTCTTTTACTGAACCTGAAACTAATCTACTAAACTAGGCTGGCCACTGAGCATCAGAGACCTCTCTGCCCTGAGACCCCTGCCTCCTGTCCCCACTGGGATTACAGGAGCAGGTTGCCATGCCTGACTTTTTTTTTTTTTTTCAGACCAGGTCTCACTATGTAGACAAGGTTGCCTGGAACTCACTGTGTAGACAAGGCTTGCCTGGAACTCACTATGTAGACAAGGCTTGCCTGGAACTCACTGTGTAGACAAGGCTTGCCTGAAACTCACTATGTAGACAAGGCTTGCCTGAAACTCACTGGGTAGACAAGGCTTGCCTGGAACTCACTGTGTAGACAAGGCTTGCCTGGACCTCACTGTGTAGACAAGGCTTGCCTGGAATTCACTGTGTAGACAAGGCTTGCCTGGAACTCACTATGTGGACAGGGCTTGCCTGGAACTCACTGTGTAGGCAGAGACCTGCCTGCCTCTGTCTCCTGGGTGCTGGGATGAGAGGGGTGCTCCACCACACCCAGAGCTGCTGGCTTTTTATGTGCGTTCTAGAAATTCAGACTCAGGTTCTCATGAGAATGCAGCAGGCACTTTCCCAAATGAGCCATCTCCGCGGCCTATGATACAGAGATTTTGCAGACAGAAGCCCCATTCTTTTCTCACGTGGCACTTCCGTTATGTTCTATTGTAAAAACCTCTCCTCAGGGCAGCTCCAGTTCTCCCCAACACTGTGTCACTCAGGGAACAAACAGAAGCTCAAAGGAATTCTCTTCCCTCCGGGTGGGCCTGCTAGAGTCAAGTGGAGTTTGGGGTCCCTGCTCCTGGCTTCTTGCTTCTGCCGTGGGACTGGCCTCCTTCTATTCCTGAGATGTGACTGCCACCGAAACTCTCAAACTCTTATTTTACAGGAATCCAGACGGGGATGCCAGGCCTTGGTGCCACGTGCTGAAGGACGGAAAGCTGACGTGGGAATACTGCGCTATGTCCCCATGCTGTAAGAGACACTCCACCACTCCCCTTTCCCAGGCTCACCTCTTCACTGTTTTCTCTGCCGCCTCCTGTGTCTATACCACCATCTTAGCCTCTGTAACCTCTGAGCCTCCAGGAAGGCCAGGCCTTTGGGGCAGCGGTGACTGAAGCTAAGGTGGACAGTCATACTTGTCCAGATCTGTCGGGGTTAATAAGGAGGGACAGAAAGGAAGACCAATGCATCCCTTTCTCTTCAAATGCAATAGGCCCCAGCTTTTCTCTCTGCTACCTCTGTTGAAGGTGGTGATAGTCCTGGTGACCATGAAGAGAAAGAGGTCTCACATTGTGGCTCTTTCGATAACAGCTCTCCAGTAGCCTGGTGACAGGGAGACTTTAGTGTCCATTTATTTGAAAATGCCCTCAGAAGTCATGTGGCCTTCCACATCCCCATGGAGCCCAGTTAACACAGGGGAACTGAGGTGATAATAGAGAGAGAACAGGAGACAGAAGATTCAAGTTGGCACATGCCCCCTGCACGAAAGTTTAGTTTGGAAATTGCCCAAGAATAGATTACTACCCCGTTCCCATGAACACACGGTAAGCCAGAGCGTTCCTCCAAGAGCAGACTCTAATTGGAAAGGAAGGCATACACTGAGCTCCCAGCTAAGGTCATTTGTGATGGGTTCATCTCAGGAAGTCCATAAGGGCCTCAAAGGCTACCGTGTTAATAAGAGCCTTGTGATACAGTGGGACTTGACTGGCCTTGGAGGATGGATCAGGCTGAGTAGATGGAAAAGAAAAGGGGTCTCAGAAGGAAGTCTGCAAGCCTAAAGCCTATGTGTTATCTTAAACCAAGAAATTGCTGTAGGCAAGATCGGAAGGAAGGGTGTACAGAATGCACAGAAGAAAGATTCCCTGCTTTTGGAGTCAGAAAGACTTGGGGTCTAGTCCTGGTGTTACTGGGACCTCCAGTGAAAGTTTCCCTGCCTTCCTGCAATTTAGTTGGGAAGGATTAAGATACACATCTATGTGTATCTTATTTGGCAATCACTGCCCTCAGCAAAGGAAAGATGTGGCTTTCGCCATCATTCCGCACCAGTGTGCCGAAGGGCAGTAGCCTGTAAAAATCAAGGTTCTGACTGGGGAAAAAAAGCTATGGTGGATCCTCTCAGCCTTGTCCCCACACTGCAGGTCTGACCCCTTCCCCCTTCTCTGTTCTTTCCTCGCCAGCCACCTGTGGCCTGAGGCAATACAAACAGCCTCAGTTTCGAATTAAAGGAGGACTCTTCACAGACATCACCTCACACCCTTGGCAGGCTGCCATCTTTGTCAAGAACAGGCGGTCTCCTGGAGAGAGGTTCCTGTGTGGAGGAGTGCTGATCAGTCCCTGCTGGGTGCTGTCTGCAGCCCACTGCTTCCTGGAGAGGTACGGGCTTCCCGTTCTCTGAGGCTTTGGGAACGTAACCCATGGGAGTCACTCATGGCAAGCACCAACCGCAATTTAAAAAAAAAAAAAAAAAAATTTACAAAACATCCTAATAGTGTTTTTCCGCCAGGTTTCCTCCCCAGCATCTTAAAGTGGTCTTGGGCAGAACATACAGGGTGGTCCCTGGCGAAGAGGAGCAGACATTTGAGATTGAAAAATATATAGTCCATAAGGAATTTGATGACGACACTTACGATAACGACATTGGTAAAACGCCATTATTTTCACACGCCCTTCTTGCTCAGCCTGGTCCCTCCCCTCCCCCACCTCCCTGATTCACTCCTCTCCTCCTTTCTCCTGCTCCCAGCATTACTGCAGCTGAGGTCAGATTCCAAACAGTGTGCCCAGGAGAGCAGATCTGTCAGCACGGCCTGCCTCCCTGACCCTAACCTGCAGCTTCCTGACTGGACAGAGTGTGAGCTGTCTGGCTACGGCAAGCACGAGGCATGTAAGTGGAGGGAAGTCTTGGTCCCATCCTCATCCATCCTGTGGTAGTCAGGCCGATGGAGGGGAAGCGGTCACACAATGTTCTGGTCCCCATTCTGGCATGACACAGAGACATGCAGGCGAGGACTCAGCCTGTCTGGATGATGAGAAGCTACCATCCGCTTCCTCGCATTTCGGGGACACTGTGTGTGGGTCACAGGAAGTTGGGACAGGGAAGCGCTCTGAAGAGATTTACAGTCCAGTGGAGACAGACAGGAAGGGTGTAAAGGTGGATGTGTTCTTAGATACTGGAATTGGACAGGCTGAGTTTGTAGCCAGCTTGCATCTGGCTTAGTTGTGGGACCCTGGGTGTGCCATTCAGCTTTCTAATAACGTCAGCTGTTAGCGGAAAAGTCAGCTTTCTCTATCCAGAAGGCTTGTAAGTGATGCTGAGACCCTAAGCCGTCTGTACCTTCTCTTTCAGCATCCCCCTTCTTCTCTGAACGGCTGAAGGAGGCTCATGTGAGGCTGTACCCATCAAGCCACTGTACGTCACAACATTTATCTAACAAAACTGTCACAAACAACATGCTGTGTGCCGGGGACACCCGGAGTGGGGGCAACCAAGACCTCCATGACGCCTGCCAGGTAAACATGCTGTCCAAACACTCCTCAAACTTAAGAAATCAAAACTGCAGGGAACTTTCTGAGTTTGTGGACAGGAAACTCCGCCTAGCACAGGATTTCCCTGTGAGCTCCATTGAAATGATAGGTAAAGCAACATAATTAAATCTTTGTCTTCTGAAGGCGTTGGGGAACTTGGACCTGCTTTGTAGGACGAGGAAAGGTATCCCCCTGGGATACAAGATACTGATAGAATGTGAGAAAGAGTTCTTAAAGTGCCTGGGAAGTAAAACATTTTAGGTTCTCAGTGTCGAGTCCTCACTGGACTTGGTACTCACATTTCCTGATTACTAAGGGGCTAGGGTGTAAGCACAGAGTAACCACTGATGTAAGTCCCAGATAGTAACCACACAGAGCAACCACTGATGTAAGACCCAGATAGTAACAGGCAGAGCATCGCTGATATTAACATCCAGATAGTAACCAGCACAGAGCATCACTGACATTAAGACCCAGATAGTAACCAGCACAGAGCATCACTGACATTAAGACCCAGACAGTAACCAGCACAGAGTATCCGCTCACATTAAGACCTGAATAGTAACCACCTGACTAGGGAAAGTGAAACATAGTTCACTGAAGCCATACAACTAATTAGTAGCAGAGTCCCAATTACATTTTATTTATTTATTTGTTTGTTTATTTATTTATTTATTTATTTATTTATTTATTTATTTGAGAGATGGATCTCATTATGTAGTCCTGGCTGGCCTGGAACTCTGTGTAGAAGAGGCTAGCTTCGAACTCACAGAGAGCTACCTCTCTCTCCCTCTGAAGTGTTGGGGGTTAAAGGTGTGCACCACCACATCACCCACTTAAATCGGATTTTATAAAGCTTGAGCAGTTTTTGTTTTTGTTTTCTGGGTGCTAAGAATGGAGCTCTTGGCTTTTTCAGAGGTCAGGTGACTGCTTTACTGCTGAGCCACACCCCAGCTCTTGACAGTTAAGTCTGTGTTTTTTGGTTTTTAGTGGATATTTATTTATTGGTTTTTTGAGATAGGATCTCATTCACTGCGTGGTCCTGAGTGTCATGGAACCCTATTTGTAGACCAGGCTGGCCTTAAACTCAAGAAATTCCCCTCCCTCTGCCTTTTGAATGCTGTGATTAAAGGCATGGACCACCGTGTCAGGCTCTTGATGCTATTTTACCAGAATTAAGATACAGTTTAATCTATAGCCTCAAGTCTCCCTCCCTGAACCAAGTTCTCTGAGGGCTACAATCTTTGTACTACAAAGAGCCATCCAAATACTCTGCCATATGTACAAACAATTAATCTATGCTCTCCCACAGGGTGACTCCGGAGGACCGCTGGTGTGTATGATCAATAAACACATGACCTTGGTTGGTATCATCAGCTGGGGCATTGGCTGTGGGCAGAAGGATGTCCCTGGGATATATACAAAGGTTACTAATTACCTAGACTGGATTCAAGACAACATGAAGCAATGACCAAGAAAACCCAGCTCCTTGGATCCGGAGGAGGGCCTGCCTTCCTCTCCTATAGAAAACACACCTAAAAGGCCGAACGTTCTTTACTTTATTATCTTCCTAGACTGCCACTCGGCAGAGGGACGGAGGGTCTGTAGGAGAGGACGTAGCGTTTATCTATGACAGGTACTTCACAGTTCCTAAGTTTTCAGGGACGAAGGTCTGACTTTAGGATAAAGTCTGTCTGATGAGAAGATGGGGAAATGCCAACCCTCCCATAACTCTAGGATTTAAAAGAGAAAGGTAGACCAAAGTCCACTCTCCTGGTCCGCCATTTTGTACACTGGACTACCAGACACAAGATCATGTCTCAACAGTAAAAGGCAACTTGATCTTTCAGGAGAGAAGTTTGCAGTAGGGACAAGGATACGTATTTATAGTTACAGCAGGGCCCAGCAGAAGAGACAGGAGTGTTGGCTGGCCAGATCACAGCCCCATAAAACCCTTGAAATCAAATATTCTCCACATCCTTCCCACTCCCCAACTCTTGGGAGGTATTCCTTTGTATACAGTGTAAATCTTTTTATCGTTATAAACATTATAGATGGTTGGGAGAACTATGTGATTTTAATAATTGATGAAGTAGCATTAGCATATTTATATATTAATCTATTTTAGTTTTTACTTTGTTACCATAATTTTGTATTATATTGTACTTAAATAATAAACCCAGAGGTATTTTTCACACTTTTCAAATGGTATGTATCCATGGTTTATTTGTGTTCCCCGTTCCTTTTTTTTTTTTTTTGGAGTCAGTTGAAAGACTTCCTTTCAAACATGGGAAATCCTGCTTACCCACAAGGCAATGTGCTGGGTGCCACCAACAGTAGAAACGGGGTGGGGAGAGCTGGCATGGGCAGGAGGCATTCACAGAAATGAAGTAGATTGGAACAGGTCCCAGCACAGCAGAGACCTCACCAGAACTCAGTTGTGAGAGTGAGAAGGGGTCATCGGGAGCAGTAGGACTCAGAAGGGTTCCACACAATGGCTAAGACTGGGCAGTTACAGGCAGGCCAGTGCTGAGACCCAGGATTTCACTATCGCAACAACAAAGACCCGTCGGTCAAAGAGGCAGTAGAGTACAGGGGATGACAGACAGTCTGTCTTTATTATAAGTGGGGGAGGGCAGTTTTAGGAGTGCCCTGATGCACACGCGAAGGTCAGAGGGTACCCACAGTTCTTTGCTTCCACCATGTGGATCCTGGGGATTAGACTCAGGTTATCTGACTTAGTGGCAGGTACCTGCAAACACAGCCCTAGGGATTGAACTCAGGACTTGGGGTGCACTAAACCAGTACTCTACCACTGAGCTATATCCCAACCTGATCTGAACTTGATCAGGACTGTAGATCGGACGCTAGGGACTCTGCAGGGCAAAATGAGTGTTTTGCTCCAGGAGGTGATGAATGAAGAGGGATCTGGAAAATCAACCACACTATGACCACAGACTGGGCCGACAGCTGCGTTACTCTGCGGACAGTAGCTACAGCAACACAGAAAGACAAACCCAAGCCATCCCTTATCAACGCAGCAACGGCTCAGCCGATGGTCCCTATTAGACGCTGCTCTCTGGATTGCTTCTCTCCCCTCATTCTGTTTTGTTTTCTCCTTGGAAACAATTAGCTCACAGACCAGTGCACACCAGTCTGCTGCTTACGTCCGTCCTGAATGTTCTAGTAGCTCCTTTAGTGTGTGTGATAGGGGTCTGAGGGTGTGTCCACACACAGCGCAGGTGTTAAGGTCAGAGGACAGCTTCCAGAAGTCATTTCTCCTCTTCTGCCACAGGCCGGATTAAACTTTAGGCCTGTGTGGTGAGCGTTCTTGTAGCTGACCTCCTGCTGGCCCTTGCACAGTCTTACCACTCGGGCAATACAACCTCTCTTCCTGCTGTGGTCTCCAGCTTGCTTCGCCACATCTTAGTCCCAAGAATCTCTCATGATGTAATGATTACTCTCGGGTGTGGCTGGGTAAATGTTTCTTTTAGGAAGAAATGTCTTTCTTATCTCTTGAGGGGTTGTCAGTACTGCCCTGTTGGAGGCTCTTAGAAGAAAAATAGTTTAAACTCACAAAAGAAATTCACTGTAGCCCAAGAACTTGATGGGGGGAGGTGTTGGGTGGTTTCCCAAAAATCTCTGAAGTCTCCAGACCAGTTCCATCAATTTGAATCAGAGACTAGGTCACCGATTTCTTGACTTCACGTAAGTCTGCCTTCGTGTTGTGATCTAAGAAATACATCTCATCCCATTCCCGAAAATGCTGCTTGAGGACAGCAAGCAGTAAGCCAGGCTCCCAGGCCTGCCCAGGGCAGCTGGCTCCACCCCTGGCCCCCGCTGGGCAAGCTTTTCTTCAGACCCTAGGGTTAGTGAGACCGAAAAGCCTCCTGGGATGGGAATACAAAGTCAAAAGGCCCCAACATTCCTGAGTGGAGTCCTGGAAACCATACCCAGATGAAGACAATTGCTGACTCTTAGCGGTGTCCAACAAGCCATATGAATCACACTGAAGGGTCAGAGTAGCACATCCCTCCCTGCCCGGTAATGGCTAAGAAACGCAGGGGGCAATGTCTGGAATCCACCAGAGGAAGAGAGTGAGTCACGGGGAAAGAAAATATGCCCCGTTGTTCCTGGCTGGTGACTAAAAGAGGCCAACAGAACTAAAGAGCAAGTATGGTCCCAGGTAACTGGGTTGGTTTGGGTCGTTAAAGACCAAAGGAGCACAGAGCCCCAGTCCTGTCCCTCCCCGCCCCCCAGACCTGTACCTCACAAAGTGTTACAGACTTTCAACTCCGAATATGAAAGCTGGACACGCAATCCTTAGTATTTAAGACCTGCTTGGGGTTCTCATTAAGTTCCTTTTTAAAGCCATTAACAATTATAGACGGTATTGATGGTACCTAGTCACCACCTACTGGCCTAGAAGGAAATATAAGTAGATACCATTGCCTGCTCCCCGTGCCCCCCCCCCCAACCATCCAGACTAAGGGAGGAATATAGCAGTCAGCCCTGATCCTGAAGGAACATGTTCCAAGGTCCCAGTGGGGGTCTGGAGACAGACAGCACCTACCCTACCTACCAAGTCTGTTTCTCCTGTAAGTTGTATACTACAATCAGCTACAGGAAGGCATTAGTGGTGACCACTGGCAGAGCAGAACCAGCTAGACTCGACAGGTGTCTCTTGGTCCAGGGAATCCCCAAGTCTCGGTGCAGGCTCCGCACAGCATGTAGGAAGGGCAGCAATCAGAATACAGGTTTTCTTCTGTCTCCCCCAGCGACACTGATGCCTTTGACATTCACCTCCAAGGCACTGCCATTCACAGAGTAGACCTGTACGCATTTTCTCCTGCTTAAAATTGCAGTTAGAAGTACTGTTTTTGCTGAGATCTCAGCAGGCTTCACACACGATTGTTTTTATTGGGGAACTTTGAATTTCTTAACGAGAGGAAGCATTTTCTTTCAACCTTCTTGGCTTTTCTTCTACCTATCCAACCCCTTCCCCCCACCCCCCACCCCACCCCCGCACTACTACCCTGTGAGTGAGTGAGGGTTCCTTGAGCACAAAGAGTTAATTAAGAGTGAAGACAGGCCCTTAGTGACCCAGCAAGCAGAGCGTAGACATGGGGCAAGGCATGATTTGTGTCCAGGGAGAGATAGTGTCTGACAGGGTAGGATGGGATGGAGATCAGTTAAAGACTTCATCAGGCTGCTCAGAATGGCCCACAACGTAAATGTTACCTTTTCCTGCAATTTTCCATTTCCTATTTTCAGAATGTAGTTGCTAAGAAAGTAGGGAGGGCACCGTACTAAAGAACGTCAGAGAAGGGGCAACCAACTGGTTCCTCGGGTAAACGTGCTTACAACCATGCCCGACGACTTGAGTGTAGTCCTCGGGACTCACACAATGGAAGGAGAGAAGTGACTTCCTCGAGTTCTTCGATTTCCACATACAGGCTGTGGCCTATATAACCCCCAACCCCTTCCCACAAACTCATACATACATATCCCAGTTCAATGTCTCCGGGAAACAGAAACTGAACTTTGAACAAGCCCCCACACACTTCCAGGGAGTCAACAGAAGCCTGCAGAAAACCAGTTTAGACGGTGTCTACATGTTGATGTTGGCTGGCAGCCAGAGACTCCATGTGGTTGTTTGAGTGAGAATTGCTTCCTGTAGGCTCCAATGTTTGGATCCTTGGGGCCCGGTTGGTAGAATTGCATGGAAAGGATTAGATGTGTCTTTACTGGAAGAGGTGTGTCACTGACAGTGGGCTTTGGGATTTCAAAAGCCCACACCATTTCCAGCACGCTAAGTTCTCGGCCGCCATCATGGACTCGAACCTCTGAAACCATCAGCCCATGAAGCGCTTTCTTTTATAAGTTGCCTTGGTTATGGTGTTTTTGTCTCAGCAACAGGAAAGTACCTAAGGCACCCCTGATGCCTAGCTCCCCCAGAAATCTCTACAAGAGACACCTGAGACCTTAGGGCTCTGCTTCCTGCAGCAGGGAGGGAGAAAGAACACTGAACATGAAATAGCACCAAAGGCTTTAACAGCTTTTTTTATCCTAGGAAAAATCATTAGATTCCTCTGGACCTTAGAGGCCACCAACCTTACAAACAGCACCAGTACCGACATGACCTGTCCCCCAGGGGTGACTGGAGAATCACACTCTCCAGGTGGCTTCAGAGTTCTCAAATAAGCACCTTCTACTTAGGGAAACACAGTGGAGTGCTACTGCTAGTCTTAGTAACCAGACAGAGACTGGAAGACTGGTAAAGCTTTATTAAGACTTAAACAGAAATACTACTTCTGCACATGGACCCCGCACAGAGTGAGGAGCTATTGAGACTCCCCACACATCCCCCCTGCTGACTGACAGTCCCTGGGTGGGGACAGCCAGGCCTGGCTACATCCACAAGGTCTAGGCCTGCAGGTCCCACATTCCAACTTTCTAGGCAGACAAGCTATACTGTGCTAGACGGAATAAAGGAACCTCCCGGACATATTCAAGGACCGATATCAATAGTTTCTGTGACCCAAGAAACCTCAGAATCCTGCGGGGCCCGTGGAAGTGACTTCCCATTCTGAAAGCCATCTGCAGAGTGTCTCCCTCGACTCTAGGTGTGCGGAGCTACGCTGGTCCAGATTCGGGAGTGGAACGGTAAGAATCAGCTGGTTGTACACAGCACAGTTCACCCCACAAGAAAAAACACAGAGAAACTCCACTTGGCAGCAAAACTAAGTACCGGCCACGGCAAGATAAAACTGGCCAGAAAATAAAAATAAAAAATGAATAAGCACAAGTACTTAAAACAGGACTTTAGGGGAGAGATGTACAGAGGAGAGGAAACATCCTTCCTTCCCTCCACGCACGACAGAGCGCAAGCTGCTCCCTAAGCAGTAAGTTAAAAACAACAACCCCACCACTGATGCAAATATTAAAATGAGCAACGGACACGCTGGGACAGATTTAGAAATACTCTTTAGGAAAGTCATGCTCCTTCAGCTGCCATGGTTTAAACTGGTGGGTCACTCAAGAGAACACAGCCTGCCCTCCTTTGGCATTTGATTTTATTCAAAGGTTCAAGACGCCTTTTTTTTTTTTTCTCTTAAAAGTGGCCTGGGAGCTGTCTGCTGTCAACAGGTAGATGACAGTGTACAGACGGTGGGAAGCAGCTTCATGGACTCATGTGCCCGTGCC